ACAGGCTTCCAGTGGGGGTTACATGAATGAATGAATCAAATCAACACCCGAAAGAGAGATTCCAAAGACTGTGCAGGTATGAGACTGTACAATTTGAGATAGCTTATAAGAATTAATTGGTACTACATATACTAACAAGATACATTCATTTTTTGGTAGCCCAGAACGGAAGAACTCCACAGTTAAACATTCTTGACTTGAAGTAATTCTGGGATGAGTGACCTCCTGGGAAATTTTCTCAAAAAGTATGCGAATGGAGAAAAAACACACTGAAAAGTCTCTTATGGATTAGAAATACTTATACATACATGTTTAAATTTTCATTTATAACTAAATCTGTGGCTAGAAAATTACACAGGGAAGAAAAAAGAAAATTATAACTTTTATTAATGTATATGTTTGCTATATAACTAGTTAGCAAAATATTTGATAGGATCTTGGAAAATGATTAAACACATAAATACTTTGTTAAATCGTCAATTATGTTATCGTATCAACAATTATATTCTCAACAAACCAAAATTACTATGTAAGCGAAGCAAGTATAATAATTACAAATACTAATGTAAAATTGACATAACTAATATACTATGGAAGTGGAAGCATCTTCTTTATCAAGACATAAACTCCTCTAAGTTTAATAATCACAAATTGAAAGTACAGTTAAATTATCCCTAAAGCACAAACTAACATCCTCGTCTCTCTTTAACCAAAATCTACGTTTTCTTTAAGCATATGGTAAGTTACGTCAGTGAAAATACCTTTTTATTTTTTTTTAGTAAACTGAAAATACCTCTCTTTAATTATAGAATATAGTTGCAGAGTTACGGAAGTATCTCTTCTGTTTTGGGATTTTATTTTTTAATTAAAGAATAAATTCTTAAACTCATTTTTCAAATACTAATGTATTATTACATTTATTTTTTTAAAAAAAATTATATCATTAAATTTGCTAGCAAATGGACTGTTTTATTGCTTAAATTAAAGTATTAGTTCAAAATGTTTTATTGCTCCGCCATCATTACTCTAACAACTTGTTAGAGTATGTTTGTTTTAACGTCGGAAGACTCATTAATTAACGTCGGAAGACTCATTAATTATGCTTGTGGAATTGTGGCAAATGTGTTCCCAACGCCATACCTATCATGTTTGGTATATCACTCGGGGTAGAGTCATGTTTACACTCAAACTTGATTAATAGCGTTCGGGTATTAATGCTGAAAATAATCCGCTTAATTGCACTATTAAAGAAGAGAATCGTTTATATGGTTAAATTAGTGCTTTTGCAGTAGGCAAATCAGGAGATAAAATAGATAAGTTAGTTTAAATTTTAATGGTGTTAATTAAAAGGTGAATTAAAATGAAAAAAATCATTAAAAAAAAGTATAAGAAAAAAAACACGTGGAAATTTTTGAAATTTTACAAACTTAAAAAAGTCTAATATTTTATTCTTTAAATAAGTAAATTCATTTAATAAAAGACATTAAATGCAAGCTAATTAATGACTTTGAGACTTTCGTGGATAAGGCCTTAAAATATTTTAAATATAATTTTTGGCTAAAAAATATTTAAAATTATAATTCAATGACTTGATTTAATTTAGTTTGCTTATTTGTTATGTAAATTAAGTATAAAAAAAAGCAAGAACAAAGATAGGTCATAATTTATTTTAACGTGTTAAATGGCTATTTATTAAATGCGAAGTCCTTATAGTTTTACTTTTTTATAATTTTATTAAAAATGAATTTTTTTACCCAAAAGAAATATTCATGTATAAAATTGTTAATTTATCTACGAAATTTATATTTTATTATTTTAACTAATTATTTTTGAATTAATATTATATTTAAGATTGATTGCCTTTTTAAGTAAATCGGACTTTTTGACAAGTCAAATATTTTAAATTATCCCCATTACATTCGCCGTGACCAATTTATTTAAGGATTTCATCATTAACTCGTTCCATGTATTAATTTATTTTATGAAAAATATATAAAATTTGATTTATCATTAATGTTAATTGGAATAATATTAAAAATAATTTAATGTTATTTTATGAATCGTTCAACGATGCCTCCTCATTTCACAAGTAATTTAATATAATTGAGTTTTGATGAATGTGATAATAAATGTGGCTATTAACATAAAGTCATTTAATACAAAGGGTAAAATAAGTTGGCCGTTTAAGGAGTATAAATTAATTTTTTTTTTCTCATAATAGTCAAAAAGCCTATATACTTTTTAAATAAAAGAGGAATTTTTAGAATTTTATTAATAATGAGAAATAATTATTAAGAAAAAATATAATGCAAAAAATTTATAATTAAATTATATTTATTATGTCTTCAAATAATTATATTTAATAGTTAATGCTACTGTTAATTATCTCTTTAAGGCAATTTTATTATAATATAGATGTATAGAAGTTGGAACTTGGAATTAACCATTCAAATTTAAGAAAATTAGTTTATTATCAAATAGTGATAGTTCAGTTGGTGCATTGAAGCTGAGCAGGTGAGAGTGAGAGAATATGTTTGATTCTCTTCAGTACCACCTTTAAAAGGGGTTTAAAACTTTTAAATTTGGACCATTTCAAATCGGACTCATCGCGAAAAGAAAAATCAATTGGAATATTGAGAAAAAAAAAACCATAATTTTTTTTTTAGATTTGATAAATATTTTTCTATTGTATAATTATTTATGTATTAACTCTACGTACAATGACCAAACTGCCATACTTTTTGTAAAAAATTACCTGAATGCCATATTTTACAAAAATAAATTCCAAGATACCACATCACCTAACTCGCTACAACACCTAGCAAGTTAGGTGTTGACACGTGGTAGAAGGTGCATAGCCACGTAAGTGACTGCGCAATGCAGCGAGGTTACGTGGCATCAAACACGCTATGCAGCATAGCATGTTTAGTCAGTTTCTGACACGTGGCAAACGTGTTATGCAACATAGCATGTTTAGTCAGTTTCTGACACGTGGCAAACGTGTTATGCAGCATAGCATGTTATGTGTGTGTCATGAAATTAATAACGCTCCTAAAAATAATTAATTAATAGTTATAAAATAATTTAAATTATATATTTTAGTTTAATTCGGTCTATAATAATTTAAATTTTTATAACTATTAATTAATTATTTTTAGAAGTGTTAATTAATTTCATTTAATTTAGTTTAAGTTATGTTAATTTTTTTGAACTATTAAGTAATTTAATTTAATTAAGGAGTGTTAATGAATTAAATGTAATTTATGTTTGTTAACTATTGTAGTTTAATTCAGTCTATATTAATTTAAATTATTTTATAACTATTAATTAATTAATTTTGGAGTGTTAATTAATTTCAATTGATATAGTTTATGTTAAGTTAATTTTTTTTTAACTGTTAAGTAGAGGTAGCAAAGTGGGCGCCTCGCCCCGCCCAGCCCCACCCCGCCAAAAAACAAGCCAGCCCACCCCACCTAGTTTGGTGGGTTGAGTAGGTTGGTCCGCCAGCCCGAACCTATTTTACACTGACCTGCTTCGACCCGCCTATGCCCACTATCAACTCGTCAAAAAATGAGCCCACCTCGCCCCGCTTTTGAGATGGGTTGAAAAACTCAACCCGCCCCGTCCCGTTTAGCAGATGGGGCGAGTTAGCCCTTCGAGTCGAGCTCGTTTTGCCGGCTCTTCCGTTAAGTAATGTAATTTTATTTAGAAGTGTTAATAAATTAAACGTAATTTATGTTTGTTAATTATCTTAGTTTAATTTTATATTAATTTAAATTATTTTATGACACACACGTAACATGTTATGCTGCATAGCACGTTTATCACATGTCAGAAGTTGACGAAACATGCTATGCTGCGTAGCATGTTTGGAGATCATCTTTTGTACATCTGTAGTAGGTACATCTGCCATTCAACAAGTGATACTTAGATAAAAAAAATATTTTTCTCTCCTTTCCATACAAGCATGACAGTCATTCCTCATTTTTTATTGGATAGATGCATTGAGTGAATAGTAAAGCAGTAGTACCATAGATATTTCTGCATGCTTGATGTCACGTAATCTCGCTGTACTATGCAACGACTTACGTGGTCATGCATCTTCTGCCACGTGTCAATATCTAACTCGCCAAGTATTGTAACGAGTTAAGTGACGTGATATTTTGAGAAAAAAAATTACAAAGCTTAACATTCGGGTAATTTTTTACAAAAAAAATGTGCGCTTTGTTCATTGTCCCATACTCCCATTGACTCTATATAAATCTAGTGTACCAAAAAAAAAATTCTATCTAAATCTCCACTTCAGAAAAAAAGAATATATCTATTTGCCTTCTCAAAATGAGAATGGACTATTGAATATTGACCCTCCTAATCATTCATGATTCGTGCTCATCCACCATCTGAAGATGTTTTTTGACAACCAAAACAAACCGTACACTACAAAATTTACAGTACTCTGTAATAGGTACAATGGATCAACGGTAACGTGCCATATCAGTTTTTATTATTTTTGAGAAGAAAAAACTTTTGTATTTTATATTGTATTAATATCAACATCACCAATAATAATATTTGGGTTTTATAAGAGTTATGTAGTAAGAAAAGTGATCGTGTAATGTTATAGAGATTCGTTTTGCATTTCTTAGATTTTATTTTATTTTTGCTTAAAAAAGTGTGGGCTCCACAAAATATTGTGTGTGTAAGAAACTTTTTTGTGTCATGTGACATGATAGATGCAAATCCCATAATATTTTTATCTCAAACTAATTGAGGTTAATAATAAATGAATTCAAATAAAAAATATAAAGAAATAAAATAAAAATAAATAAATGTATTTTGCAAAATATATAATGTAAAATCTACTGTCATACGTTGCACTGAAAGTGCTCTCACCGTACACAGAACACAGACAAATACCAACAAGAGAGAGACAGAGAGAGGACAAGTACACACTATAAGAGGAACCCAAACCACAGATAAACTACAGAGATACAGTTGAAACAGTTTTCTTCTTTTGCCAAATGGCCATTGGCTTCTTTATTATAAGGGTCACACGCTGAGAAGAGTTACAGTACCTTAGTTTACCCTCTCAGTTTCAGGTGTACCACCCTGTTCGTTTTTGTCAGATCTCGATTCTCTAACTCCAAGAATCCACACCATTCCTCTATCTAAGTATTCATTCAACTTTGGTCATTTCTCACACCACCTTAACCCAACCTTTTTACCATTTTTTAATACCAACCAGTAAGTACTCGTAACTGTTTCATGCTTGCTTGGTTTCCATTTCATGCATTGAAATAGCTACCTTGTGCCAATTCTCGTGCACGGAACATACATAACCCCGCATTTAAGAGGTTAAACTGAAAAATCTCAAAAGCAGGGTGAAGGGTACCAGAAAAAAAAGTGCTTCAAAAGCAAGCATATTTAAGGCTCTCCCAACTGAGAGAGAGAGAGAGAGAGAGAGAGTTATGAGTAAAGCAGCAAGAGCTGCACTATAAGGTGGTGCTGTTGTCTAATCTTTTTGCTCATTTCAGAAGGGAAAACGAGATAAGCACTCTGTTTTGGAAGGAGTTACAAGGAAGCTACCCTTATTTGCTGGTTGGCACACACACAACACACTCACACGACTCACACCTGAAACTTAAAAGCTCCCTTCTTTCCTCTCCTTCTGAGTTATAAATCACAAAGCAACATTATTGTCCAAGATTAAGCAACTTTCTGTCTTTCTGTTTTCCTACATAATTTGGTATATTCCAAAGAGAAAATTCTCTTCTGTTCTGTGTTTGATTGTGTAAATCTGTTTCCAGAGATTCAAAAAAAAAAAAAAAAAAATGTTAGCCCAGAAGCAAGTGGAAGAAGCCATGATGCCAAGCCTGAACCAGACTATTGAACGTGACGAGGGAGAGGAAGAGAAGACAAATATTTCACATTTTAGCTTAAAAAGTGCTCTTTGGCATGGTGGGTCTGCCTATGATGCTTGGTTCAGCTGTGCCTCAAACCAGGTAACAAGAAGTCTCATAATATGAATTGAGATTCTTAGTATAGTTTCAGCTGAGTATAAGAAAGTTACTAACTTTGATCCTTTTTTTTTCTGGTTTTTGTGTTGTGCAGGTTGCACAGGTTCTGTTGACACTACCTTACTCTTTCTCTCAGCTGGGAATGCTCTCAGGCATCATATTCCAAGTCTTCTATGGCCTTCTTGGTAGTTGGACTGCTTATTTAATTAGCATTCTGTACATTGAGTACAGAAGCCGGAAAGAGAAAGAGAATGTCAGCTTCAAAAACCATGTCATTCAGGTTAGATTCCAACAATTGCAAAAAAAAAAATTCTTTTTTTTTTCTTAACCCCATACCCAGTACCATTTTTACTCTGAATTTTTCTATATGGAACAAGTTTCATGGTTTGATTTCAATCTTTGTAGTGGTTTGAAGTGTTGGAAGGTTTACTGGGTCCATACTGGAAAGCTGTTGGATTGGCCTTCAACTGCACTTTTCTCCTCTTTGGATCTGTCATCCAGCTTATAGCTTGTGCAAGGTCTCCATTTCCTCTTATTATAACCTTTATTTGATTTTATGACTTAAATCCTTTTATTCTTGTTGCAAATGAGAAATTTTGCAGCAACATTTATTTATACTAAGATTCACTGGCGGATCCTGGGAATTTTTTTTTTTAAATGCCAGGATCCATCAAAGAATTTTAGTATAAATGTGTTTGCTGCAAAAGTGACAGGAGAAGTGAGGAACCTTAGATTATTTACTTAATTGCTTTGCTTTGGGGGGGTGTGATATTGCAGTAATATATACTACATAAATGATCACTTGGACAAGAGGACTTGGACCTACATTTTTGGAGCTTGCTGTGCCACCACAGTGTTCATACCATCATTCCATAACTACAGGATTTGGTCTTTCCTTGGCCTTGGCATGACCACTTACACTGCTTGGTATTTGACCATTGCTGCCCTTGTTCATGGCCAGGTAAGCAACACCAACGGTCTTTGATTATTTCTACAGTGGGGTTTCTCTCCCTTGAAATTGTTTCATCTGAGCTTTGTTTAAAATCTTTTTTTTTTTTTTTAAATTGCAGGTTGAAAATGTAACGCACTCAGGACCAAACAAGTTGGTTTTGTATTTCACAGGCGCCACCAACATACTCTATACTTTCGGCGGGCACGCCGTCACAGTGTATGCACTTTTTATAATATTTTGCTTATTAAGTTAGACACAATAATCATGATTTTCTACGTTATTGTCTAGGACATACATTAAAGAGAATTGGAGAATTTCATTGAACTGGCCTTTCTTTAATTGCGGCACTGTCCTGCATTATAATGACACTTCGATACAATACTATATCTTGGCTAAAATTATACTCTGTCATTAGTACTAAAATTTTTCCAAATCCCAGTTGAACATTTTTTCTAATAAGTGTGAAGCTCTGTGTGTTGTTTTCAGATTTTGCTTTTTTCCCCAAAGACTCTGTCAATATGGTATATTTATTATTATCTATAACATAGTAGTGACATTTTACCGCATGATATGTCCTAGTTGTTTATTTTACTATCTCTCAAGTAAAAGGAAAGGTAATGCTAGGCATACAAAAGTTCCAACATAAATACACACATTAATTATGTCTGTCTGTCTCTCTAGCATCATCCACAAGGAATTATTGGACAGTCCAAGTGTCCAACTAGATAAATAGTGCCATATATTTAAAAGCGTGTGTTTACTATTTAGCATTAAAATGCACTAATCTTCCTGGCAGTGTATATGAAAAAGCTTTGTTGATAGGGTTCGGTGATCTGTAAGCCTCGAGGGAATTAGTCTTCAGCTGTCGGCCGGGGATACCTTGAGTTATACTAAAAAAATGAACTAATCTTGGTCTAACTTAGAAGTTCTCCAATGTTTAGCATTAAAGTATTGACTAGAAAAAAACAAAGGGTACAAAGTCAGCTGAAAACAGTTCTATCACATTCGGTCATATAGCAGGATATGTGTGAGAGTGGGGTATATGTGTGATTCATTTGTAGATTTAAGTTGCAGTAAACACTAAGATAGACCATAATGATATGATTATTGCAGGGAAATCATGCATGCAATGTGGAAGCCTCAGAAGTTCAAATATATATACCTTTATGCAACTCTTTATGTGTTCACCCTCACCCTACCATCTGCTACTGCCGTTTACTGGGCCTTTGGTGACCAACTTCTGGATCATTCCAATGCCTTCTCGCTCCTCCCCCGCTCTGGCTGGCGTGATGCTGGTGTCATCCTTATGCTCATTCACCAGGTCCATCTATGGTTTCCCTCCCCTGACATTCTTCACATTTACTAATTTTACTAAACAATAAACAATTACCTAACCAAATGACAAAAGTAAAGAAGTGTATATGTTGCTTTAGGTTGTTACTAACTGATTTGTTTTCTATGTATTTGACAGTTTATCACCTTTGGGTTTGCTTGTACACCATTGTATTTTGTGTGGGAGAAAGTTATTGGAATGCATGACACAAAGAGCATATGTTTGAGGGCTCTGGCCAGGTTGCCTGTGGTGATACCAATATGGTTTTTGGCTATTATTTTCCCATTTTTTGGGCCCATTAACTCAGCTGTAGGGGCCCTTTTGGTCAGTTTCACCGTCTACATCATTCCTGCTTCTGCTCATATGCTCACATACAAGTCTGCCTCCGCAAGACAGGTAAAATGGTCCAATCTACCTGATATGTGTCTCATCTAACTAGATTTACTGTGTCCTCCGTGAATTTCTATTCTCTATTTATATTTTATAACATATGCTAATAATTAGAGTACGAGTCTTGAGGCAGCGGTAAGATTGTTTCTTTTGTGGCCTGAATATCATTAATTTAAAGGGATTTATAATCGACCCTCACCCCTACTTTCTCGTAAATCGGGAAGCCTTGTGGGAATATGTCCCTTTTATATGCTAATAGTCACATTTGGGGCATGTTTATCATGGTTTGCAATTGCTAATAATATTACTCACCCTCACATTGAGCATTATGGTAAAGATCCTATGATAGTACCAGAAATTTAGTTCTAGTAATTATAGGAATTTGAAAATTTTATGAGACTAGATGAAGTTGGTGTCATTTCTTTGTCATTCAGTAATATGCTATAGTCATACTACCACTGATACTGTGCTATGACCAATCAACATTTTAACAATGAGAACCTAACACAGTACTCACGGTAACAGGTGTTCATGTTCATGACCAGTTCTATGTTATCATTGTGAGCTGACAATACTTTTTGACACATGAACAGTTAAAAACACAAGCTAACAATTTCAAGGCTCGTGGTTATTTATTTTCTGGTCTTGTGTAAACAGAATGCCGCAGAGAAATTGCCCTTCTTCATCCCTAACTGGACGGTCATGTATGTGGTGAATGCATTTATAGTGGTGTGGGTTCTTGTGGTGGGCTTTGGATTTGGAGGGTGGGCCAGCATGACAAACTTCATCAGACAGGTTGACACATTCGGACTATTTGCCAAGTGCTACCAGTGCCCGCCAAAAGTTCTGGCCTCTAACCATACCTTACATCACTGAAAAAACTGTTACTTAAATTTGTATGATACATATATAGGGTGTCATCTGTATTATCCCTATATTTTCTGGTTTAATCTCCATATAGATACATTATTGTGAATGCCGGTGTTCCCTTATGTAGCAAGGCAATATATATATATTTTTTTAATCATTTTGGTTAATCATATGCAGCACTATCGCATGGGGATTGATGTTTGGCATAAAGTGATTTCAAGTAAAGCGTTCAAGTTTTTCTTATATCTCCAATTCTTTATAAGACCATGTAATCATTTTTCGACTGATTATGTCCATCATTATAACTAACATTAGGACTTGGTGTTTGGGAGAGAACTTTAAGTACTACGGTCCCATTGAACTCAGCAGTGCGACGGTAGTTTATTTATATTAGAGTAAATATTTTTTTTGATCCTCAGCAAATTTTACGATGTCCGTTTTAGTCCTTATCAAACAAAAAGACTCATCGTGGTCCTTCACAAATTCAAAAAAGACCCATATTAGTCCGTAAAGGACTAAAATGAGTCCATTTATGATATACAAAATTCAATAGGGGCATATTTATTTTACAATCTATGAGTCAATCTTATAAGGAGAGGATCATATTATTTTGTTCCAGATCTAAAGGAAATTAACAGTGTTTATTCATCACATGAGTTTATGGTTGGCTCAACTCTTTTTTTGGAAAAAATAAAAAATCAATAAAGGACTTGTTAATCACCAAAAAAGCAAATCAACAGGGGTATTGTAATCTGCATCACGAGGCTATAGCATATATGTCGGGAACTGATAAAGGTACTGCCATGATTAACAAGCTAAACATAAACAGTGAAACTATTTGCTAGGCTTTTTATATATGGTTAATTTATTATTCCCTAGTTCACATGAAACCACTATCAATATGTCCTTGGTTGGTGGTTAGGTTCAGTTCCATTATATGATTGACTAGTCAAAATGGAATTGGATCAGCTAAATGGTATCTTCGAATTTATGACTTGGAAAGTATGAGAATTTGGGGGGGGGGGGGGGGGGGGGGGGGGGGGGGGGGGGGGGGTAATAATTTAGAGTTTTGGATATGGAGGACCTGTAAAGGCTTCTTTTTAAGTTTGGTGTTTGTAGCTTTCACCTTTATTTTTATTCTCTGAATCTTAGCCTTGCTTATCCGGAGCTCTTTAGTTAAGCATCTTTTTTTGGGTCTTGAGTCTTGTTCAGAAATATAGAATCCTAAGATGGACCTTACATTAATTGGAAAACATTAAAAATATAGAATCCTAAGCTTTCACCTTAGCATGTTTGTGTTTGATACTGTTTGATCTCTCTTACTCGTATGTGTGATGTTTCATTTGTATTTTGGAAGTAGTTGTTGTTGGACTTAAACTTGGGTAGAAGAGTAAATTGATTTACTTTTGGGCTTGAATTCAAAGACCGCTCCCAAAATTCCTTTGACAAAAATAAGTCCAAAAATGTCAAAATCCCTGCCAATTAGTGAATGAAGAGCTAAATAAGAGTGCAAAAATAAAGATCCAAGAAAGTGGAGGCCCATCAAGACTGACCCAGTGGACTACTCAAAGAGATAATATGGGCCACTTAGTAAACATCAAGCATGGATGCAGCAGATACTGGTCATATTTGTTATCTGAAATACAAATGGGATCAGTGTTATTAAAACCGGACAGACCCGGCCGGGTTGATCCGGGAACCGGTGAATCGGTCATCTAACCGATTCGGATGAAGTAACGGATCGGTCATGCATCAGAACCGGTGTGACCCGTCCGGTTTTCATGAAAATCGGTGACCCGGCCCAATCCCAAAATATAAAAAAAAATTCAAATTATTTATTTTTTCAAAAAAAATAAATCATAATGGACATATTTGAATATTTTTTTACTTATTGACTTACATAAATTATGTACCTACAACATTAATATAATCTTAATTATGCACTATCCAGAAAATTTTGATTTGATTTATAGTTAGAGATGTCGTTTTTTAAACATAAAGCCACGTATCATGATCATTATATTTTTGTTTGATTCTTTATTGGATAATAATATGTGATTTATTATTTTTTAAATTAAAATATTTGAAATTTTTATTATTATTTTTAGATATTTGAGTATGTTTATAATTTTTTAATATAAATTATAAAATTACATATAATTACTGGGTCATGCGATTGAACCAGTGACCCACTGATTGAACCAGTAACCCAGTGACTCAGTACCTCGACCGGGTCAATAATCGGGCCGGTTTTAATAACATTGAATGGGATGAAAAGAAAATAATAATAATAATAAGGGAAAAAAATATCTAATGTTATTTTAAATAATTTTGTCTAATATTTATCGAAACGAAGTCATTTTGGATTGAAAAATTTAAAAATTAGAATGATAAAGACTATTTTAATCCTGAAATAAATTAAAATTACAAACATACCATGATTTCTGCCAAAACGACATTTTTTAGGTGAACATCAGGCAAAGTTATCTAAAGTAACTTTAGAAAAATAACGAACTCTAATAATAATAATTGAGAAGTTTTCTTTTAGGCTTTAATGTCTTTACAGGGAATGTAGATACGTTATTTACATTCGCTCCCAATATGATGTCATTTTGAGTTAAAAATATAATAAAAAAGACTATTATAATCCTGAAATAAATTATAATTACAAAAATACCTTGATTATCGCCTCAAAACGACATTGTTTTAAGCTCAATGTAGATGACTTATCTACATTGACCCCTTTCTTTTATCACATAAAAGATTAATTAGGCAAAATTTTCTTGTCAAGTTACAAGGAAAAAATATTTGTTCTTTTAAAGGATAGTCATTTTAGTTGAAATTACTTTGTTTTATTTAATGTTTAAATTAAAAAAATTCTCACTCTTTTCCACCATAATTTCTGTCATATAACCGTTTCTTTCACTATAAAATACAGTATTTTTTTTACTAAAATAACACAATTTTATATCTTTTAAAACCACACTCACTTTTTCCATTTTACAATAATTCCAACTCATCCTTAATATCAATGGCGGCGAATAGTGTAATGTTATATGGGATATGCATGATATGCTTGAGTTGGAATTTTATTAGCCATGTTACCACTTAACGGGGCTCTCATAATATTAAGGACTAACATGGCACACTTTCAGAAAAATTTAGACTGAAACTAAAATTAAAATTAAATGTAATATATTTTTAGAGATTAAAAACATATTTAAACTCTAATTACTTAAAAGTAATACAGATTTTAAAATAATAACAAAATAAATAAATTAAGGATACATTTGTAATTAAAATTTCTAAGTTAAGATCACGATGCATTTTAAATGAATTAGGGGTAGAAATGTCCTTGCATATTCACTTGAGATATAAATTTAGTTCAGAAGAACTTAATTCGATATTAGTGATTGCTTGTTTGGTAAGCTCTACAATTTCTTGTGTGTTTACACGAAAATGAGAATGTATTCATTTGTGGGTTAGAATATCATTTCTGACTTATGTTGTTTTGCAGATTTCTTTATAATTTATGTGTATTTATACGACAATGGATATGGATTTTAAAATATCATTTATGTTCCGGGTTTATATCCTCGAGTAGAGCAGGTCGAGGACAACGGCTAGGGGAGCCCGGGCTAGCCATTCTCTAGGGGTTAGTTACTGAACCAGGTAAAGACCCACGTATTAGTATTGTAGTTGGGCCCTACCACAATGCCAGATTGGCATTAATAACCACCCACGTTTATTATAACCGTCCAAGCAAAGCTATATATATAGGTGATAGATGCCTAGGATAAAGGCAGACACTAATGAGAGAGAATTCCTACTAATGTTCATCCAGAACATTTGGCGCGTCTGTGGGAAGGGTAAAACGATTCCTACGCATTTTCTTGTGTCATGGTGAGCAACAACCGTGACGAGCGAGCGGTGGAGAATGAAGAAAATAGAGGAACGAAAGATTCTTTTCGATCCAGTGGAAGAAGTCGGTCCCTGAATACCATTGGAGAAGCTTTGATTCAGTTAGTGGAGGATATAAGGAATAGGCGGCATCAAGAAGGAGGACAAAGGAGACATTGTTCATAAGAGAGGCAACTTGGAGAGAATGGGCAACAATGCGCCGACGGGAGGAAATGTTCTTTGTCTCCTCTTCCTAGTTATATTCCATTGTCACATCCAACTGTGAGAGAAAATGGAAGAACTGAAGTTCGAAGAGGGCAATTTTCTCGAGAGTCAAGGAGTCATCCAGAAAGGATGAGTTACCAGTATAGAGGACGAGGTGTAGGTCGGAGAATGGAGGAGCGGGCATATGATGAACATACTTGGGAAACAGGAAGAAGTCGGCAGAATCTAGGCGTGGAGGACGAGCAAACAGAATGGGAACATTTGGAGGAAGGGCAACCCCAAGTAGGTCGCCAATATTATACTCGTCAAGAAGAACGAGGGACAAATCAAAGGCGATACGAGGAGGCTGATAGAAAGAGGAGGCCGGAAGGAGAAAGACAATATGCTAATCATAGAGACGAATTCCCGCCTGAAGAGACTGAATATTACTATTGGTGGGGAGATCAAGGCCAAAGAGGAGGATGGCACCAGGCGGGTAATCCCGTAACCAATACGGGTTATCAGTATAATGGGCATGGTCGGCCAGAGGATTATGGCCCTCATCATTATGGAGGGCAAATGATGAATATAAGGCGAGAAGGGGCAGGATGGAATGAGCAGCAGTGGAGAGCACCACAGCAGATGCAAGCACAACAAGGGATTCCTGTGCAGCCTATTAACCAAGGGCAAATGGGTAAGATGTTGGAGGTGTACATGGATGATATGATTTTTAAGTCGGGGGACGGTAGGACGCATTTGGAAGACTTGCAGGAATTCTTCGAGCAAGTCAGAAAGCACAATATGCGTTTAAATCCAAATAAGTGCGCTTTCGGAGTTCCAACAGGAAATTTTTTAGGTTTTCTCCTAACAGAAAGGGGGATTGAAGCCAATCCAGACAAATGTAGAGCAGTGATGGAAATGAAGAGCCCGGAGAATATTAGAGAAGTCCAGAAGTTGAATGGGCGAGTAACGGCTTTATCCAGATTCTTGGCTAAGTCAGCACATGTGTCGTTGTCGTTATTTCAATTGTTAAAAAAGGGGTGTAATTTTGTATGGACGGAGGAGTGCGAAGTCGCGTTTCAGCACTTCAAGAAAATCTTAGCTTCACCACCAATTCTTAGTAAGCCAGAACCAGGCGAGTTGTTGTTTTTATATTTGTCTATTTTATAGGAGGCAGTAAGTTCAGTTCTTGTCCGAGAAGAAAAAATGGAAGGCATAAATCGATATACTTTATAAGCAAGGTACTGCATGGAGCGGAAGTAAGATACCAACACGTAGAAAAAGTGGCATTTGCATTGTTAATTACAGCAAGGAGGCTTCGGTAATATTTTCAGTGCCACCAAGTGGTAGTTAGAACAAATCAGCCAATAAAGCAGATGTTGCATAAGTCGGATCTTGCAGGTCGGATGGTGGCATGGGCAGTAGAGCTATCTGAATTTGGCATTAATTTCGAAGCATGTAATGCGATCAAGGTGCAAGCTTTGGCAGATTTTGTGATAGAAATGACGCACCCCAAAAGTAATCAAGAGAATGGTTGGTGGAAATTATTTGTAGATGGGTCATCCAACAAAAAGGGCAGTGGAGTTGGAATTATAATAGAAAACCCAGAAGGAGTGACAGTAAAGCATTCGTTGACGTTGGAGTTTCCCACAAGTGACAATCAGGCGGAGTATGAGGCAATGATTGCTGGGTTAATCCATGCAAAGGAGCTGGGAGCAGAATGTTTGGAGGTATATAGCGATTCACAGTTGGCGACTTCACAAATTAGTGGGGTGTACCAGGCTCGAGGGGAGATCATGATCAAGTATTTAGCAAGAGTACAAGAGTTGATGAGAGAATTTAAAGAGATCCGAGTGGAACACATTCGGAGAAACGAAAATGTCCGAGCAGACATTTTGTCAAAATTGGCAAGCACTAAAGCCACAGGAAACTTGAGGACAATCATACAGCAGAGCATTCAGGCTCCGAGTGTAGTGTGGATGGTAAAGGAGGTAGATTGGAGAAGTCCAATCCAAGACTTTTTAGAAAAAAGAAAGGAGCCCGGAGAAAAAATGGAAGCAAGTAGGCTGAGGAGAAGAGCGACATGGTTTGTAGTGATAGAAAGGCAGTTGTATAGGAGAGGAATAAACTCGTCTTTGTTGAAATGTATAGCCGTGCCAAATACTGAATATGTGTTAGAAGAAATACATGAAGGAATTAATGGGCATCATCTTGGAGGTAAATCCTTAGCGAGAAAAGCTATACGAGCAGGGTATTTTTGGCCAACGATGGGGGAGGATGCTAAAAAACATGTACAAAGATGTGAACAGTGTCAGAAATTTTTCAATATATACCAAGCTCCTCCAGAAGAGTTGTTCATAATTTCATCTCCTTGGCCATTTTTCAAATGGGAAATGGACCTTTTGGGCCCATTTCCCAGAGCAGCTGGAGGGGTTAAGTAATTGATAGTGGCAGCTGATTACTTCACAAAGTGGATAGAGGCAGAACCCATCGTGACTATTACTGCTCGGAAAGTTAAGAAGTTTTTCATTGGGAAAATAGTTTGCAGGTTTGGTATTCCGGCTATAGCCATTACGGATAATGGGACACAGTTCATAGATAAAAAGTTCCGATAAATGGTAGCCGACTTGGGAGTGAAGCATCAATTTGCAGCAGTGGAACACCGGCAAACGAATGGGCAGGTAGAGTCTGCAAATAAAATTTTGACGAACGAGTTGAAAAGAAGAGTGGAAGGTTGTAAAGGAAGTTGGGTTGAAAAGTTAGACAATGTGTTATGGGGATATAGAACTTCAGTGCAGTCTAGTATTCAAGAAACTCCATTCAAGATGACATACGGGTTCGATGCAATGTTACCCTTAGAGGTCGGAGAGCCATCATGGAGGAGAAAAATGACACCAGAAGAAAAAGAAGAAGAGAACAGTGAGATGATGAAGATTGATTTACAGTTACTGGAAGAAGAAAGAGGGAAAACAACAATGGTTGAAATGGCGTCCAAACAGTGGGCAACGACAAGGTATAATCGAATGGTAGTCAAAAGTACATTCCAAGTAGGGGATTTGGTGCTCAGGCGGGCAGATGTTGGAAATAGGAATGCAAGAGATGGTAAGTTGGCAGCTAATTAGGAAGGCCCTTACCGGGTAATGTCGACCACTAACACTGGGGCTTATCAGATAGAGCATTTGGACGGAAAAACCATCCCACGATATTGGAATGCTGGCAAGTTAAAGAGGTATTTCAGTTGAAGAACTCGGAATTTAGTAGACATAGGAAGTAGAATAGCAGGTTTATAAATTTTATTTTATATGTTATTCTAGGAAGATTAGGGATTTGATTTTAGTATGGTGTTAGTATGTTGTTATAACTTCGAAGTTAGTATGGTAGTTAGTAGGTTGTTTCAGGAAAATTATGGTTTTGAATTTAGTATTTGTGGTAATTTTTGAATTCAATAATATGAGTGAGTTCTGATGATGGGGTTGATTAAAATTGTAAAACAAAAGTCCCTTGCCGCCTCAAAGGCCTCTTGGGCACCCGTCCAAATCTTACTCGGAAACGGGAAAAGCAAAAGTCCCTTGCCGCCTCAAAGGGCCTCTTGGGTACCCGTCCAATTCTTACTCGGAAACGGGAAAAACAAAATTCTCTTGCCGCCTCAAAAGGCCTCTTGGGCACCCGTCCAATTCCTACTCGAAAACGGGAAAAAAAAGTCTTCTTGGGCCCCATCCAAACCTTACTCGGAAACGGGAAAGAAAAAATCCCTGGTAGCCTCAAAGGACTCCTAGGATACTTGTCCAATTCCTAATCGGAAAAGGGAGAACAAAGGTCTTAACCGTTATAAATGGCTTGTCGAGTTCCCTTCAGTCCTTACGCGGAAAAGGAAAGCGTAGTGGAAACGTGTTAGATGGTGAAAATCAAAATTCTGAATTAATAGGATAATAGTCCAAAATTATATGAGATTAAGTCGGATAATGGGCTAAAAATACAATTTAAGATCCGTACAAAATTAATCAAGTAGGAGGGCTTTGGCGACTCATTTTAGATTAAGGGGGTATCCAACGAAACCAGTAAGTCAGAAGAAACATTCAGAAATCAAGCCATGATATTTGATAATGATTATCGAAGAGTGACTACTCGGATATCATAATAAAGAGAATCCTCAATTTAAATTTGGGGAAAAGAGTTGTCGAATTAGTAAGATAGTTGGATCAAAGAAAAGTATATTCAGAAAGAACGAAAGTAATTCGAGATAGTCATAAAAGCATTAAAGCAACTGATAGTTGAAAGTACAAAATAAACAGTCATTACAGAACCAAATAACAGAAGAAATAAAAACAAGTACAAGGTAAAGTGGCATCTCACTCCTTCAAGTGTCTTTAGGAACATTATCAGAGGCAGTGTTATCAGAAGTCGGATTAGAGCCTACATATTCAGAAGGGCAGGTTGCAAGAACAGTAACAAGACCTTCCTCGTCATGAGTGCATAGTTGGCCATTGTCAACAAAGTTGAAAGTTTCAATTTTTTCCAAGTTATGAAGAGAAGATCCTGGGTTGAAGAATTTAACTTGGTCTAAAACCCAACTGCGAATTTGGTGACCATAAGCACCATATTTGGAATCCATGTCGACTACGGCTTGTTGTAAAGTGGAGACATTTTTCTTCAAAGTTTCTACTTCTAGCTCTAATTCAACTACTCAGAAGTCAGAATCTTCGAGGTTTTTCTTCAGAAGGTTGTGTTCTTGGGTCAACTTAGTATGATCTTTTTTAAGAGCAGTCAGCTCGTCATTCGATTTTTTGACCAATTTTTCAGTTTCTTTGAGCTTGACCTGGAAACCTTGGGCAGCAGATTCGGCAGATTCGGCTCTTTGGGTCAAGCGAGGTTTCTCAGCATTAAAGTTGTTCTTAAAGAGTTGTAACTCTTTAAGTTCAGCAAGAAGTTGTTGGCGTTCATCCAAAGCTAGAAGCGCAATCTCAAAAATAATGGGCTTCTCGGAGAGAGTTATCCCGAATAGCAGTGAATTTGAAAATAAGCTGATCCAAAGAAAACTTATCCCATTTTTTGCGAAGTCCAGCAGTAAAGCAATGTTGTAATTTGTTCATAAAAGGGGAACCTGAAAAAGGAGTAGCAATAACATAAGTAGGAGGAGTCAATGCCTTATCAGCAGAAATGGGATCAGGGCTAGGTTCATCAATCCTAACTCGTTTCCTTTGGCAAAGCTCGCCAGAATCTACTAGAGCTTCAATGTCAATCACGACAGTGTCACCAGGAATAGAACCCGTAGCTGAAGTAGCCAGAATAGAAGAAGGAGTGGGAGAAATTTCCTTCTCGCCAGAGACTGAGGAGTGATCAGTACGCACGGCTTTATCGACGGAAGCAACAGAGTCATCCTTACGAGCAACTTTCTTTTTCATCCAGGCAAAAAAGGTAGGATTCATGAATTTATCTGAGAAACAAAGACACAGAAAGAAAACAAATATGGAGTTAAATGTAGAAGATATATAAGAGCAAAAGAGAGGCACGTAAGTTACTTACTCAATTTCCTGCAAATCCAGTCAGAGGAATCTTTATAATCTAGAATAGACTGAGGAATGATAGAAACATTTTGCTTGGCTAATTGAGAGGCGAGATTTTTGAACCAAGTATAAGTTTCAGATTCTTCGATACTCAGATTCTTTGAGTTAGTTAGAAATGCTTTGGCAGAAGTTGTATAATGATTCTGGTTCCAACTGAAAGGGAATCGAGGAGCTCCGTCTTGATCTAGAAAGAAAGCATAAAGAGATGCAGATTAAGAAGAAGAAGAAGAAGAAGAGGCACAAGGTGTAGCAGGAAGAGCTTCAGGTATACAAATTTTGAAGTAATCTTCTTTGAAATTTTTCCAGTTATCCTCGTATAGTACACCAACGAAATTCGGGGCAGGCTTTTAAAGAAACTCAACTATGGCGAGTACTTCCTTTGTCAATAGCGTTTCGAAACACGGCAAATAGACAGAAAAAGACCCGAAAAGAGTAAGTAAACCCAAAAGATCGACAAATTATCTCGAAGGTATGCAAAAAGCACCAGCTGATAGGATGAAGTTGAGAAGGGGCGACTTCAAGGTGATTCAAGACATCCATTTGGAACTAGGTGAAGGGCAAGACGACTTTGAGCTCAGAAAATAAGCATTTATACACAAAAAGAAAGAATTCTCACCTTGCCCAGAGGGAGAACAAATACGCTCCTCTTCTCCGGGTACAGCAACTCGGAAAGAAGTGATAATAGAATCATGGAACAGAGGCACTGATTGTAAGGCAGCATAGAGAGTACTCGGATGGTTTTTATAAGAAGAACGAAGTCCTAAAGCTTCTTTGTCAACCCATTCTAAACCTTCCACAGTAGAAGGAATTGCGAAGCGAGAAGTGGGAAGCGAACGGTATGGGCGATTCCTCGGCATGGCCTGGACAGAAAGGCACCAGTAAAATCTAGTTTAGAAGACGTATTACAAGTTAATATGCTAGCGAAGAACATGGTGGTCGTAATTTGGTCCCTAATCTGTCCAGAACCTAATAAAGCTAGTTAAAGGAACCCTAAAGGAGGTGAAGGTAGAAAGATAAAAGAAAAATCCTTTCAGGTGAGCAAGGTATGGGGGAATTCAAAGGGTTGTTATTAAGATAATACTTAAAGAAGCATTTATAAGAATCATGATGACATAGGCGAAAAAGATAAATGAGGATAAAGTGTTGAAAAAGTGTGCAAGAAAGATGGAAAGAGTACGAGTATCAAAGTTAAGAAACTTACTTGTAGGAAGAGTATGGAGGTAGGGGTGTTCGCGATCTGAATTGGATCGGTTTCGGAAGCAAAAATTATCGAATCCAATTCCTTCGCTTTGATCATGTAATCATCCATTTGGTTTGGATTTTTTTTCAAATTCGATCAGATCCGATCTAATCCAATTTTTTTCGGTTTGGATTGGATCGATTCTCGATTTTTTTAAAATTCTAAAATTTGTTTCATGATTATTGTGCAAATAACATCTTTGGTATATATTGGCTTTGTAATTTTATTTATTTTTAAATACAAAAACATCAGTAAACGATAATATAGTTTTTTTTTTGGACAATGAGATATGAAGCTCTACATAGATAAAATTTTGTTGATGAGATGTGACTAGACTTTTGTGTGTGTTTAGTTGATGGGTTAATAGGTCTTGAGTTTAGAAATTTTTGGGCTATGATTGGGGAAAAACCCAAATAGGTAGAGGGACATTAATATATTAGATCGGTTTGGATTGGATCGGTTTTCATCTACCAATCCAAAAATCGATCCAATCCAATTAAAATTTGTGAGTTTTTTCGATTTTCGGTTTATTCGGTTATCGGTTTTTCGGTTCGGTTACCTCGGTTTGGATCGGTTGATGAACACCCCTACATGGAGGTAGCGATCAAATATGACTGAGTCACAGCAAAGTCAGCAA